AATATTAAAGATCAACCTTTTAGTGAAAATACCAATAATATTCATCAAGATTCAGAAAATAAAAATAAATTAAATAATTCTTACACAAATCAGAACATACAGATGGATTATGTCCAACCCAATCAAGGAATGATTCATATCGAAACGTTAGATCTCAATATTACTGACAGTACTGTGGCACCAGCTAAAGAATCATTGGACATACAGATGGACTATATCCAACCTAATCAAGGAACGATTCAGATCGAAACGTTAGATCTCAATATTACTGACAGTACTGTGGCACCAGATAAAGAATCATTGGATATTCAGCCAGATATATCAAACGTAACAAATAGTGTTTCTATCGGTTCCGCATTATCAAATATAGAAGGTGACTTTAATGACGTTTCATCGCCAGAAACACCTGTCGAAAAACCAAAAAGAGCTTCTATACAAATAATGAAAACTGAAATTGTACCTGTTCAGTCTAATATGCAAATTGAGCAAATCCAAGATATGATTCAAAAAAATTCAGAAAACACGAATGATCCTTCATCTGACACTGATTCTCCTTCGCAAACATCCGAAGCAGATGACCCTTTAATGATGACTCCAGCTACAACCGTTTTTGTCAAACCTATCCAATCGAAAATGAAAGTTGAAAACGTGAATAATGAACCTCAATTAACATTAAATAAACCTTTCATATCGACTCCGTCTGCTTATATTGCCGAACGTGCATCTGCATTTACACAGTCCGCTACTCCGACAACTACATATAAAAAGTCATCCAATAATGCGCCATCTTCAGTTAAAAGCAAAATTGATGCCGCAGAAAAGATGACTGATTTAAATAATGAAATTACAGTGAAACCTAAAAAGGGCGTACTAAAGAATAAAGGTGGTTCGTCTGCGCATGTTGATGACGGTCTGAACAAAGTGGAATCAAATAATGGGGCAAAAGAGATGAAACCACTTGTCCAAAAGAAACCTGCTCATAGGGATTCAGATCAAGAACCAGTTCCTCGAAAATCGATCTTAAAAAACAAAAAAGCTCAGGTAAGTAGAGGTTTTCTTTAACAAATTCAATTTTGGAAGCATTAACTTGTTAACTAAATCATAATTTCTTCAAAAGAAAACTCCACAGGATATTAAAATAGCTAATGATCTTATGCCACCGCTTAATACTGTGGAAAAATCAGAGACGCAATATCGAAGTCCAACTTTCAGCATGTATAAAATGTATGATGATTTACCTGGAGGTCGAAACAGCACAATGCAACCCAATGTGCCCGAACTGCCATCAAATATACCGGACAACACTAATTCAAATGAAAATGATAGTTAAATAAATTTTTTTATCAAATGGAACTTAAGAGCAATATCGAAATATTACTGATGATTCTTTCTTACACATATGTTCACTAATTTTAATCTTTGTTTTTTTATTACTCCAATTTAATGTGTATTTTAGTTATTTTAGTTTTTTATTTATCTTTTTTATCAGGTGGTCAATCTATTTATTGGTTTATCGTATAAGGTTTATTGTATA